AATTTATTTCTCCATAAGTTGTTGGAGAGCAAAAATACCGTCTTTGCATGATCAAATTCGGTTAAATGCACTTGAAAAATACAGAGAAATATGGTTAAAAACAAGTGTACAAAATAGTTTTTATTTCCCTTATTATAACATTCTCATTGATGAAAATGATGCATTGAATTGTACAGGTACGTTTCCAAGGTTTGACTGGACCAGTTGCTTTTAAAGAAGGCAGACGATCAGAGTATAGTGTTGATATATACAGACTTCATTTTAAACAACATATGACAAAGGTGACGTATATTTGTTATTATGATTATTTGATCAGTGTTTTGTGTGTGTGTGTGTGTGTGTGTGTGTGTGTGTGTGTGTGTGTGTGTGAATGTTCATAGATAAAGCATGCAACGTCAAAGCAGGATAAGAACAGTTCTTACAATAAATTAAAGATGATGCTATACTATGTTCACTTCAGACTTAACGATAATCATCATCATTCCGTAACACTACGTGTCGTTGGGTCACCAGTTTATATTGACTAATCAGCTCTGTCCACCCTTGGCAGTCAGTTTGCGATGGACTTCAAGGCTCCATAACTGAGACTTGTCTAGCCAGTCAGGTTTTGTAACCAGGTCTTTCTTGGTCTGCCTTTCTTCCTTTTCCCCTCTACTGAGCCCTGCAGTACTGTTTTTGAGTGGCCGTTAGACCTTATTACATGTCCATACCATTGCAATTCGCCTTGTCACTGTATTTAAAAGAAGTTCATAGTTGCTAACCATATTAGGCTGCAAATATTCAATGAATGAATGAATGAATATGACACGTCGATAAGAAGAAGTTTGGCTGCAATGCATCGTTAGTAATCTCTTTCGCTAAACCTTATTGTACATAAAAGTGGTTTGATGTTATTTACCAAATTGAATCACTGTCTCGCTTGTTGCCCGTCTTCACTTTTTCCCATACCACCTGATGTTTCTGTGTGTTTCGCCTATTTCAGTTTGATCGAAAAACTTTATGTGACTGATAATATTTAATTTATTTCATCAACTCTATTTTGGTTCCAATTTTCCCCCCATTTATTACTGTTTGAGCTTCCATATAATACGTTGTATCCTTCTGTTATCTTCATGCTAGACCATTTCGTTAGCGCATTTACCATAAAGATAAACTTTTAATTTTATTGATGCCACTTCCTGGTCCAATAATCCAGAGTAGTTTATTCAAAATAGAGTAGCAGTAACCCAAAACAACTTGCACATAAGAAAACGATGCTTCTTCTTTTTAAAGACCATACCGTGTGGCTTTGGTAATCATGTCGTTTTCTGCAAGCTTCTGTCTCGTGTAATTTAAATCGTTTTTTAAACAGATGATCTTCCATGCTATGATATCAAACTGTCTAGCGCCTTATTTCTTGGTCTCTCTGCCTTTCTTTCTTTCCAGCTTTACCACCATCATGGTGTATTCAAGCCCCCCCCCCCCCCCCCCCCCACCCCAACCCTTTCTCTTGACATGACCAGCGTATGTAGATTGTCTAATTCTGGCGTGGGTAATCAGTTATTTTCGTGCGTAAGTTTCTGTGAAGAAATCTTCATTACTCGTTTTATCCGTTCAGGGTATTCTCGTCATTCGTCTATAAAATCACATCTTTACCGCTTCCATAAAACTATTTACTATTCGTTTAACTGTCCATGCTTCCCACCTGTATGTCATAAAATGATTTATATAGTTTGTTTCAAGTGACAATTGTAATGATGAATGTTGAATTAAGAGTCGACATCACAGCACTAGGGACACTTCTAAAAGCGCTCCGTCCCCATCTTCAGCAGCAAACGAAGAGTTCCAATTCCGATGGCACCAGTAACTGTCTGATTGTATATCCGTCTCGCCCTTTCCTTGAGTGTTGAGCGTGGGCCATAACCCCTGGTAACTACTCACAGCGCCATTCTCCTCAGACCTTAAAGGTCTATTTACGCATTCCCGCTGTCCACTCGTTTCCAAAGGACCCTCACAACGTCTAGATTGTCTTTCATCAATTCACCACCAAGTGGGGCAGAAACGGCCATTCTGTCTGTCTGCTCATTTCCCAACACACCTGTGTTACCTGGAGAAAATATGCGAAGGATGCTAACTACTTCTTTAATATATTTTCAATCTGCTGTTATCATTTTTGTTTGTACTTATCATTACTTATGTTTTTGTGATCCCGTCTGTTCCAACGAAGAATACAGTCAACATTTCACAGGCTTACTTTATGCCCACCAACCTACATTCCTCCCATACTATGGATGTATTATTTTTATCATATAAACTGAATCAATCGGATGGTAGTAACGATTAGTTTCTAATGTCTAGTTTAACATTTTCAAAAGTTTCATCTTGGTTGCCTATTGTTATGGTAAATTCGTGATGCCAGCAAACATTTGGTTTTGTTCTCATACCTTTAATATCAATAATTTTAAGTTTCCTAAATTCTAATAATTGAGTTTAATCAACAAAGCACAAATTCAGATCTCTGCTCATTTCAGCCATGTCTATTCTGTAAGCGTTCTCTGGGATAAATATTTGCGTGTTTGTGCCTTCACCTTCAAGAAAATCATACTGCTATTCTCCAATATCGGGGTCTTATCTTGTATAACTTAAAAGGTTTTCCTTATCATTTGCAATTAAAATTTCAGTATTATGGACTCACTGAGCCTAATTAGCTGATCTTTTTCACAATCCACTGCGCCCATGTCTTTTTTTGCGTGAACTTACGAAAAGCGAGAATTAGAGGTCTTCTTCTTCTTCTTCTGCTTCTTCCGTCTTCTTCTTCTTCTTCTTCTTCTTCTATCATATTCTTTCTCTTCTTCTTCTGTTCTTCTCTCTTCGCTTATTCTTCTTCTTCTTCTCTTCTTCTTCTTCTCTTCTCCTTTTCTTCTTCTCTTCTTCTTCTCTTGGTCTTCTTCTTTTTTTTTTTCTCTTTCTCTTCTTCTTCTTCTTCTTCTTCTTCTTTTCTTCGTTTCTTTTTCTTCTCTTCTTTTTTCTTCTTTTTTTCCTTCTTCTTTTTTTTTCTTCTTTTTTTCTTTTTCTTCTTTTTCTTCTTCTTCTTTTTTCTTCTTTTTTCTTTTTTTTCCCTTCTTCTTTTTCTTTTTCTTTTTCCCTTTTTGTCCCCCTTTTTTTCTTTTTCCCTTTTCCCTTTTTTTTTTTCCCCCTTCCCCCCCCCCCTTTTCCTTTCCTTTTTTTTTCTTAAATTTTTTTTTTCCCGCTTTTTGCTCTTCCCCCCCCCCTATTCCCCGTTTTTTTTTTCCCGGTATTTTTCTAAAAGGCCCGGTGGGCCCCCTTGAATGGGGTTAACGTAAAAATCCCAATTTTAACGGTTGGGTTTCCCGCAAACGATCTTGGGTTGGGGTGGTCGACCTCTAGAGGGCCCTTTATGTCTAAAGTGGGGGGCCTTTTGTCGTTGCAGTCTGGTGGAAATTTTTGACACATGTCCAAACCATTTGATGGGGGAACCTTTTTTGGTGTGGGTTTAATAGGATTATGTCTCAANTTTGTAATTTATCATTACTTATGTTTTTGTGATCCCGTCTGTTCCAACGAAGAATACAGTCAACATTTCACAGGCTTACTTTATGCCCACCAACCTACATTCCTCCCATACTATGGATGTATTATTTTTATCATATAAACTGAATCAATCGGATGGTAGTAACGATTAGTTTCTAATGTCTAGTTTAACATTTTCAAAAGTTTCATCTTGGTTGCCTATTGTTATGGTAAATTCGTGATGCCAGCAAACATTTGGTTTTGTTCTCATACCTTTAATATCAATAATTTTAAGTTTCCTAAATTCTAATAATTGAGTTTAATCAACAAAGCACAAATTCAGATCTCTGCTCATTTCAGCCATTCTTTCTGTAAGCGTTCTTGGGATAAATATTGCGTGTTTGTGCCTTCACCTTCAAGAAAATCATACTGCTATTCTCCAATATGGGGTCTTATCTTGCATCTTAATGTTTTCCTTATCATTGCAATTAAAATTTCAGTATTATGACTCACTGAGCCAATTAGCTGATCTTTTTCACAATCCACTGCGCCATGTCTTTTTTGGTGAAATTACGAAAAGAGATTAGAGGTCTTCTTCTTCTTCTTCTTCTTCGTCTTCTTCTTCTTCTTCTTCTTCTTCTTCTTCTTCTTCTTCTTCTTCTTCTTCTTCTTCTTCTTCTTCTTCTTCTTCTTCTTCTTCTTCTTCTTCTTCTTCTCTTCTTCTTCTTCTTCTTCTTCTTCTTCTTCTTGGTCTTCTTCTTTTTTTTTTCTTCTTCTTCTTCTTCTTCTTCTTCTTCTTCTTCTTCTTCTTCTTCTTCTTCTTCTTCTTCTCTTCTCTTTCTTCTTCTTCTTATTCTTCTTCTTCTTCTTCTTCTTCTCTCTTATTCTTCTTCTTAGGCTTCTTCTTCTTCTTCTATCTTCTTCTTCTTCTTCTTCTTCTTTCTTCTTCTTCTTCTTCTTCTTCTTCTTCTCTTCTTCTCTTCTCTTCTTCTTTTTCTTCTTCTTCTTCTTCTTCTTCTTTTTCTTCTTAATATTCTTTTTTCTGCTTCTTCGTCTCTTCCTCCTCCCCTATTCACGTTTTTTCTTTCAGCAGTATATTCTAAAAGGCACCGAGTAAGAGCCTTGATATGTGCTACGTAGAAATACGTATTTACGGCCTCGGTTATTGCAACGATCTATCGCTTGTGTGGTCGACCTCTAGATGGTCATTATGTCTAAGTGGCGGGCTTTCTGTCGTGCAGTCTGGTGGTAATTTTGACACATGTCCAAACCATTTGATGTGGGACCTTTTGGTGTAGTTTAATACTGATTATGTCTCAACTTCTTTCCTGGTCATCATTTCCGTAAATGATGATAAAGTATATATCCACTGTAAAGATCATTTAGTTAGACGGCAACCATTATTCCTTTCGATGTCAGTCAGAATTCTGAGGTAATTCTATATATTAAGAGTCAATAGCTTTAACTTTTATTATGATTAATATTTGCAGACAGACACTTGGATGTCATCAGAGTTGACAGAAGATTCATTTAAAACAATTATACCGGAGATTACTGTTCAGAATGTTACCCAAAGAGTTGCTACAGTAATTGTAAGTATTTGTGTCTGTATTCAAGAATCTTTTGGCACACTAGAAGCTGGTATAGAAAGAAGATTATTATTTTTTTTCTTTAGTATGGTATCTGTTAGACTTTTCTATGGTTTTTTTTTTTTCTTTAGTATGGTGTCTGTAAGACTTTCTTATGTTTACCATTATGTCGTGGTTATTTGCAACAGTATTGTGTTGACAGGGAATTCATGACCCTTAATTTGCAATAATTAGTGAACATTTTACTGAATTAGTTTTTAACTGTTGAACTTAAATTTGATAGGTACGAGCTGTTAACTACAAAATATTGGATGGACATTGAAACTGATGCTGGTTTAAAGATTTCAAGTTAAGGTCAGGGAAATTCATGATTCGAACAGTCAATACCCATGCAGACGGCCAAAAAAGGAAATAAGGTTAGCGGCAACGAACGAAACGATGGCCACGGATTTTAGATAGTTAAAGATAATATGATATTTCACAATAATTATTGGAATGAGTGAACTAAAAATTAAAAAAATAAATAAAAATAAAAATGCTTCGAGTGGCAAACATATTAGAAGTAACAAAGAACTAGGATTCGTCCTTTGTGTGGCGATTGGAAGAGACGAGTGGGAATGCAATCGAGTGAGTGTACCAGCGAGAGACTTACTGTATACAGTGTGGGTTTTTTTTCCCTTGGCTTAGAATTCTGAAAGGTTCCAGGTACAGACTGTCATCTTTGTTCGTTTGTTTCAACAGGGGAGTTTTGATGTATGCATCTAATTGTTGAAAATGTTCTTTAATTGCCTCTGCTGCTGTTCATAAGATTGAATTTCGATTATCATAACTGCCTTTCATTTAGTTTTTACGTTGAACAGCTCGTTGATTTGTGTAAATAGCACATTCTAATGTCTTGCGTGTGTGCTCAAATCAACTATTACTACGACAAGATCAAAGTCCCTATCTTGATGATCTGATCGCCATCTCTGTAAAATGTGAATGTACCAACTCGTCGCACAACAACAACAAAATTAAACCAAACATATTTATGTTAACAATTCCACTCCCTAACACAAGCATTATTTCTCCATAGCTTGCAGCATCTTCAAAATTATGCTTCTAGTTCTCTCTCTCTCTCTCTCTCTTTTCTCTTTCTCTCTCTCTCTCTCTCTCTCTCTCTCTCTCTCTCTCTCTCTCTCTCTCTCTGTGTACAAACGTCTTTGTCAACAGCTAGTCCTATTTACAGTGTGTAGTTATCTTCTGGATGTCGGCTTCTTACTAGCTTTGACTTCATCTTTTATCAGTTCATATTTCGGTCATGATTTTACTTTATGTCTGGTTAGCTTGCATAAACGTCTCTGCAACTCTCTTTGAGTGTCTGATAATGCCACTTCTCTAGACTTCTCTTTTGACTTCTAATTGTCCTAATTCTGGTAATTCGACTCTAGGTTCTTCTTCTTTATCTATAGAAACATGACTTGCTTTCTTATTTGCTCTCCTATTCTCAGTTTGTTGTTCAGCCTTATAAAAATCGTCAAGTATTTGATTGCAACTTAATTCAGTATCTTGATCATCAGAATATAATTGCTCCTTCAAAAGGGCATAATGCATCGCAAAGACCTCTTTGTGTATAGTCGACTATTTTCTCTAAATCTTACTCAGCTTGTTTGGCAGGAATTAGATTGGTTTTTCATTCCTAGTTTCTGGTATGGGAGACATCTCTTCTTCCGAACATGGATCCGTTAGACAAGTTCCTACCGCTAAGTCTGATGCATCTGTTTAGCACAAGTATTTTAAAATATATATCTAGATGTGCTAAAAATGAAATTAACGTCAAACTATCCTTTAAACAGTCTGAGGCTCTTTGCCACTTGAATCTGGCACATTGCCTAGTCAAGTTGATGACTGGTTCTGCAATTTGTGAGAAATTCGGGATAAACCTTCCGTAATACCCATACATCGCAATGAATCCTCTGACACGTCTCACTGTTGTTGTCTGAGGGCGCTCCATGATAACCAACTGTCACGTTTTTCTCCTCGGGATTGATGCCCTCTCTGTTAATCAGAAATCCTATATATTTCCCTTCTGCTTTAAGGAATTCAAATTTGCTAAGCTTCAGTTTCACTGAGCGTTCTCCGACTCTCTAGAACACTTTTTTTTACATGTTCTAAATTATCTTCTATCGATCCCATTGTGAAGATCAAAAATTTATTTTCGAAAGCTAAGGCATGTCTCTAAATGCCGCTCTGCCAGGTCAGTTCTCTCTCCATGTTGTCTCGAGGATCTCTTGAGTCGCCTAGAGAAATGGTTTGCAGTCACAAAGGAAAACGCGTAGTTTGTTGAGAGATTAGTGGAGACACACGACGTTCCCACTGTGGCCCCATAGTGCAGCATATGACCGAACCACTTATTCTGTTTTTGCTGCACCCTTTAATGATCCATCGGTGTCTACGTGAGCCCATTTAGGTTTAAGAGTTGTACAGATGTTTGAGAATCTTTGCATGCAATACTAGTCCACATTCCTCAGCATTGTTGCTTATGTCTGGGATCGTTGTTGTGACTGTACAGTTAGGCAGTAGGTCTTTGTCGCGTGACTTGATCATTTCCCACGTTAAAGAGTCTTTAGAAAGGATGTCACTGTTTTTGGCTCAGAACAAATCCGACAAATGGTGAAAGCTTTATCATGTCAATCGGTTTTTTACTCAGGTTAATCGCTATTCTGTGCATGGTGTTGTTGTTCAAAGGTTAAAAGTTTTCTGTTAGGTTAATCACCTTTCTTACCGTTGATAGATCAAGGTTTGGAGGACAGCAGTTGCCTCAAGCTCATTGATTGCTCAGTGATGATTCTGAGACCAATGTTCTGCTATGAAGTATGCTACCGTGCCATGTGCCAGTTTTGATCGTTTTTATCCTATGTATATGTGTCCGTACCGTGTTGACATCTGCGCCCCAGCTTGCTCCGGTAACTTTCTTAAGTCTGAGCCGCAGGGCAGCTTTCCTTTGGGTTTCTTCAATGTGGGGACTCCGGGTTAGTCTTTTGTCGAATTTTTCTTTCAAATATGATTGGTTTTCCTTTTTCAGAAGGATGTTGTATTCTAGGTACAGATAAACGTGTATGGTCTTGTGAACGTGAGTCCTGAACTGTTTGGGGAGGTTAATGATGACATGAATAAACACGGTAGGTGATATAACATCTCCCGGTGGGACACCTTTTGTTAGTCTGGCTAGCATGCTCTTGTTTTCTGCCACTGTGACACTCGCGCAGCGTCTGTAATGAAAGTCAAACATCCCTCTGCGTGCTATTTTTAGCAATTTTCTTAAAAACTGTGTCAAAAACTTTTGTCAGGTCGAAGAATGTAGCTAGCAGTTGTATCACACTAGAGTTTTGCAATGACCTGATCCACTGTCTAGGTACAAAGCTAGCATCAAACCCAGCAGATCATGTTTATGGAATCACTCAGCACATACAAGTGTGAATAGCCCTGCAATACCAGCTACATAAAAGCTTGTGTTACCGCCATGAACTCCATTTGTCATTATATCTTGGTTATTGTCCAACATTTTAGTACTTTTCCTCAGTTCTCTTGTCACTTCTTCTGCTCTACAACAAGACAGAAAAATATTGCTTTCCTCTGCAAAACTATGGACCAGCATGTTTGCAGCTTGTTCAACATTTGAGATTTTTACAGCATCTTTAATGACAGTGTGGGTGTAGCTGGTTGGTTTCTGCTAATCTAGACTCTTTACTAGATGCCATAGTTTCATACTGTCTTTCTCAATGCTGAGAGCTGCATTCTTTTCCTGTCATTGTCATGCCATTTACTCTTCTATAAATAACTTGATGTTTGCTGTGTTCTGTTTTTTGCTGTCTGTGTTTTTTGTTTCTTCAAGGCTTGCAACGACTGAGCCCGTTCTTTACCTCAAATCTTTATCTGTTTTCCTATTGTTATTTAATATCATCACATAGATTTTTCTTCCGTTTCTCAAATTAAAAAAAAGCAATCCGGAGCCATAGGTCCGGGCTCTTCTAGGATAGCTCCATCTAATTCTGTGGTTTGATCGTTTGTCCTTGTCTGAATTATGAGCTTCTGTTTAAACCGTATATTACTAAATTCACTTATTATGTCTGTAGGATTATCATTCTCTTGGCTCTAATCAATGAGGCAATGTGTATGTCATCTTCAAATTCTGCCTAAGATATTCTCATCTTCTTCAGATGAAAATACACTCAAATCATTGATATACTAATGCTTTTGACCACGCAAAATGGACGTCAGTTCTCAATCTCTTTTTATAAATGTCGCGTTGTTTTCCATATAACTATGAGTGGATCTCTTGTAACTGATTGTAAACGTAATGTGTGATGAGTAAAAACAACGTTGCTTCGTATGGATATCAACACAGACTCCTTCAAAAAGACTTACCTCTGTACCGGAGTCTATGAACTTGCCTATCTTCTGTTGGCCCATCGTCTTTTCCAGTTCCGTCTATAGTGCCCTTTTTCAGTCAGTGCTTCTCTTATTAGAGTGCTCACTATATCCCGACCTATTCGGAGGCGAAATACTCTTCTCTGTCCTTCTTCTACTTTAGCAGAAATAACCGCATGCGATAAATTCGTCAGATTCTCATGCAAAAATCGAAATTTTAACACATATGAACTTAAAGCATCAAAAAAGATATTTAGTAACACTCTATTTTGTCTCCCTGAATGACATGTCCCAGTTAAACTTCTTTTGCTACGTTCACAAGTATATATAAGAAAAGTTTTACACTCTCCCCTTACCCCATTTGTCTGGCTTTGTCTGTCTTAGTAACGAGAGTGTGTACTGGTTATCTGTAATCTCTGCGTATTGCCAGGCTAAATAATTCTTAAAATTCACCTACTACTCTTATTCATTGTTCTTTAACTTTCGACGTATGTGTCGTAAAGCGAAGTTTGATAAGCAATTCTTTGTTTCTGGTCGTCCGAAGCGGTGACCAATAAGGCTTATTTATCTAAAGAAACTACCCTAATTCTCTA